CGCGCGACAACAGGATACCGCGGTGGCTCATGGGTGTCTCTCCCCAAACGATCACCAGGATTGAGGGTGGGAGGCACATACGTTTGCAGGCCGATTCCTCATTAACCCCTTCCGTTCAGAAGGCCAGATGGTTTGGGAGTAATCAAGCTTTAAGGAATCACGGCGATGATTGGGTGACGCGATACGTTACTATATTCACGAGAGGTTTAGAGGGGAAGCGAACTTAACGGCAGTGGAGCTTCGGACTGGCTGAAAAGCGGCACCCATTATTCGACTTGTCGGAAACCAGTCTGCTAGGGACCGATTCACATACAGGCTTAATAGCGGCTGATGATGCGGTACGTCTTTGAGCGGTTTAAGGTTGTGATTAAAAAAGAAGTACCTTAGCGAAATACTGCAAGGAGTATCCTTAGTAATGGATAATGTCCCATATCTTAGAACGGATAATGTCATACGACTCTTGTCATTGAGAGAAGGTAATACAACATGTCTTATTCCTTTGCAAGGCCGCAAGTGAGGGTTACCTTTGGCGCAATGTGTTATGTTAATGGTGTTACTGTTCCACAATTAGCAGTAAAGAACCTTCTAGCTGATGACACCGCTAGCGTTTCTTCGCAGTACGCTTACGTTGAATCTATTCTCAGCTTCAGATGTTCATTGGGAGCAGCAAGGGGGGGGGAGAGAGCTGCATCACACAGGGCGGATATCTGCGCCGTGTCTGAAGGCAGTGATAAGGCTTCCGCCCTACCACTGCTTCTTCAATCCCATCGGACTATGCTTGAGTGAGCTGAAGGAAGACCCCACCAAGTTCGCAAAATCGGTACTCCTGTACTCCTTGTAAATGCTAAGTTGTGTGGTTCTCTTACAAGTGAGATAGGGAACTCGATTGGATGGAAAACGTCCGTGGATGTGCCAAAGACGGATGAGCACGTGATGAAGGATAAGAACGAAGCGCGAGAGAATTGTTTTGTACAGGAACAGCAGGAGATATGAACGTGAATCTTCGGACGCCTCCACCTCACCGCTGGTAAGTGTTAAGCGACAGGACCTCGACTTAGATTCGGACAGAGACCTGGTTTGAAAATGGACAGCAATTTTCATTGGGATGATGTTTTAGGAGTTTGGAGTCTAGAGTTTGTATTACGATTTCTATAACCAAACCGAATTACTCACTTCCCTGACACAAATATTGACTCCTATTCTGTTAATACATTAAATTCTCTTACACTGATAGTGACCTGAATTTTGTCCTAAACTTCGCAGCATCAGTTTCATCAGCCTTTTCATGTTTTATATGATCTATTTGATTGATATGATATGCACATATATTGCGAAACAATAAATTCCTCTCCTCAAAACGATTGAAGACAATGGTAAACTGGAAAAAAATCCGCATATTGCCTCACCTTAAGATTCGTACCCTGAAATTTCAGCGTGTTGGGGTCATGCCATGCAAAACGTCAGTCATGGTCACGCTTTCAGCCTATCGTTCAAAACTTTGAAAGGTTTCCTTCACATAAAAGCAAAACTAACAAACTAACAAAACTAACATAAAATGCGATATTACAATATGTATCATCAAAGTGGTGCCATGGATATCTGATATAAGAATTAAAGAAAAGCGTGAAAGGAGACAGAACCCATAAATCGCAGCAACCGAAATTTCCGAAGAACAATCAATAGACATAATGCGAGAATCATGAATGAAGAAAACACTCAAAATGGCTACCTTAAAAGAAACGTTCAAACTGTACAACCACTAAACAGTGAAGTAACAAAAAAACGCAGGCGCTGGTACATTTTACAGCATACGTCGCAGCTTAAAACGTGAAAATGCATCCTTTTGCACAAAAGTAGTCAAAGTGACGCCTTTTCGAATCAGCCCTTTCCAGTAAAGGAATCTTTTGAAAGTATAAGAAAGTTTATCATAAACGCTGACGCCGAATTAGCTGAATAACAATGTTGCCCCGGGTTTGATCGCACGCGATTGTACGTAATGGCGCTCGTCACTTGGCCTCGCCACAAATAAGGAGGCGATAATATATTTGTTTGTTTATTCATTGCACTAAAGTGTGTCTGCGATAGAACAGAAAGTCAGAGTAATAGTCAATAATAAAGAAAAAACACTCAACTTGAGACAAACATATAATCATTACCATTGAAAAACATGACCTTGAGCAATCGTACTCAAGTTCAAAAGTCAGCCTGTAGTACAACGAAAACAAAATCACGATGGCTCTCCTCACTGACTTCTTCTGTGTTCGTGAGTACAAATATTAGATGCTGATGTTTGAGATTACAAGGGATGTAGTCATCATGCGCCGAAATTAGTCACCCTCACTTACAGCTTTGTTACAGAATCAAATAAAAGGGTTGGATCAATAGCTTCATGCGTACCGCCGCTACTTACTAAATTCACCTTATAGCTATCGTATAATATTTGATAATGCATTATTTCAACACAGCTTGTATTCACACCCTATTCTTCACACTCAGCAAAAAATTGATCTCAGTGTGAGATCAAAGCAAATGGGCCGAACCATTTGTTCCGTTTGATCATCGAAGTTTAGCCCAGCTATGAAAGTAGTCGAAGAGTAAGATGACCCAAAATTGGCAAGTTTTTTTGAACAATGATCAACTTCTTGCCATAATTAGTAATCAAAGCAGAAGATTTGAGTAAAATCACTTTGGACTTGCAAGTTGTCTACAAATATACAAATTATGTAGTGTTTCTTTCTGTTTTTAGAAGTGATAGCATGAACTGATGAGTTTCCATGATCCAATTTAAGCTAAGCTCGTATCGACTTCAATCCATACCACAGTGCAGGTAACTAGATGTAGCTAAACTAAGAAGATAAAAAAGTAACTCAGAACACAAGATAAAGAAACCTAGTCTAGAAACTCAAAGATGAGAGCAATGCATCAGTTCTTATCATCCTAGCCTCAAAAAGCGCATTCAGTAAAGACATACATCCATAACACTGGGGACACTGTCAGCAGACGCCGACAGTGTCTCCAGTGACTCCCTTTCTTTGCATGCGATATTACCATACCTTACTTTCGCAGATTTACAAGATCGTTCTAGCGAGCTTGTTTCATTCCTCTTACCGTCTACAACCTCTCCTACGCAAAAATCATTTCAGTCAGACGCAACAGCGTCCAGTGTGTGTGTGCGTGTGTGTGTGCGTTAAATCGCCTATACATTTTTGAAACGTAGGAGAGCCAAGTTTGGTCCGGATACGGCGGAGCCGGGTAAGCCAGCTAGTGTGGTAATATTCACGAGTAGTTGCGCACTTCACAAGTCGCTAAGTTCAAAGTGACCTACTGCTTGTTACTCGCACACCATAATTACAGTCTGTCCCAATTCCAACCAGGCATTGACATGGCGGGAGTACGTGTCCGCGAGGGTCTTGCCACGTTTACGGCTAGCTAGTCCGCTCCCTTTCCTTCTCTCTTCAATCTCTTCGCTCTCTGCGACAGGCGCGTATGCAGCGCAAACCCCTAGCGCTGCGAGCGCGCAAATCCAGCCGATGGTTCGGCTTGGTCGCGATTGGGGCAGACTTTATGTTTCACATCTTTTTCCCTAATTTTCTGTAAGCAACTTTTACTTTTTATGGGGCCAAATATAAACAATCTTCAACGCAAATCTCTAGCGCTGCGGGGCGCAAAGCCGACTCTTCGGCCTGATCCCAACTGCGGCAGACCGTACCGTTCTCCGCCAAAACTAATGGATGATTCGGCAATTGAATTTGTGGATGATTCGGCACCTCAGTAAATATGCGACCCTATTGTACGGTTTTTCATTTGCAACTATCTATGATTCACCATGTCTCAAGAGCGCGCCATTTTCTTTTCTTCTTTTTGCATTTTTCCTTTTTTTGATGACCCTGTATAAACCTCTGTAGCCCTCGGGTACCCTTTATAAAGGAACAAAAAAAAGGAAAACAAATATGGTTCCGCGTTAGCCTAAAAAAATTTCATCCATGCGTTCTGTTCAATGTTCCGTAACACCGCCCGCGCTATTTTGTATTACTGCTACTGTGTCAGCTTACAGTCCAGCTCTGTTATTTTGTATACTCTTTGCTTTCATGCTACTTACCTGCTTTCAAGAGTAACTCACCGATTTTAAAAATTTCGCCATTTCCAATCGTCGATATGCTGTAATTTCTGCTCCAACAATAGATGATGATAAGAACATCGGTTCTTGCGTTCTAACTAATTCGCCAGAAATAAGGATGTGGCTTTGTGAGGAAGAAGGAATGTCACTGTTCTGTGCACCCAAACAGGTCCACTTTTACTTTCGGTAACTTCTGTAACCAAAATCCTTGGGAAGTTCTCATTTCTTGAGAACTTATTTACAAAACTTCCCGAGGGCTTTAGGGGAATTTCCCGAGATGACCCGAGAAAAGTTCCTCACAGTCCTCGAGAATTTGCATGAATTGTCTGTATTGCGTTTGTTTGAAAAGGCGAAATCGCTTTTGGAGCACCTAATACCCCAAGGTTTCGAAAAACTTGCTTTTGTGGAGATAGGATCTGCCTGGCGAATGATCACGCCGGAATGCGCTTTCCCCACACACTTATTTCAAATTGCTTGTCCACTTGAAAAAAGTTGAAATTTAAAGTTATGCGAACTCTTAGACATTATTCACTCTTATCTTAGTGTGCAGAGTTTATTTTTCCAACCAAGGAAATAACAAGTATGTACAGACATATATGACTTTAAATTATCAATATTAGAGTAACATAAACGTGCCTTCGAAAAGTATAAGAATCTCACTGATATGTTAAAACAAAGAAAACTTAGGTTATAACAGCAAAAAATATAATAATAAAAAAGTTAAATAAGAATTATTACTTTTTTCTGAAGTAATGTCAGGTATAGCAATGAGATAACATAGCGTGAGCTAGATTACTGGAAGGCGAATCTTAATTGAGCCATTGCACTCGCTGAAAATGAAAGTTAACATTGTGCGGGAGTTCCCATACAGATTTCGCCTGCTTCAATGTTTGAGTACGGCACTTCGGGAGACAAGTGCACGACCACCACTGACTTCGTTGCATCTGAAGTGGGTATATAGTGGATGTGTTGAGAAATTCAGTCAAATAAGGTATCATTCCATACCGAGTGTAATCACAGCAAGACTTGTCGCAGGACCCGTAGATGGTGTCTTCTACCTATAATGAGGCTTCATTTACTTGTGAGCTCCCTGTTAGTCGTTAAATGCATAAAGTTATCGTTCTTGTTTGATGAACAATAAAATTTAGCAAAAGATGTGCAAAGTTTTTGAAGAAAGTAGTAAGTTTATCAAAAGATAGATCTTGTTCAGTGCCAAGGCAAGGCAAACTCACTCGGAGGGCAACCCCAAAATTTTTAGTAAGTGAAGGATTTTTACACAATAATTTGCATACCGCTCGTTTCTTTCTTCCTAACAGGAACGACTGAGCTTGACCACTCAGACATGGGCATGAGTTGCTGGAGATGCTCTGAAAGTGAATTTTTCATTTATTGAATTTACCACCTGTTAAAACTCACATTTTGTTTTGCTTCACGTTTTTTTCTCCCGCATGGCGAACATCCCTGGAATTTTATAAAGTAAAAAAGTGAGTAAATGTTCATGTCGTCTCTAATTCTAGCAACTATTCACTCATTTGTCATTCTTTACGGCTTTTTAAATCGCAAGCTCAAACAGCTCAGCTTTAGAATTATTCTAGTTAGTTAACGGTTTTCTGTAGTGGGGACCTCATAGTTTTGAAGTTCTCTAAACTTTTGAAAACTTTTTTAGCCTCGGAAATAAAGTTTAAAATCCGTTGAATTGCAATCCGGACAATACTATGCGTATAATTTCTCATTAATGAAAAGTCGTTGCCGCGAATAATTAACACCGTCTACTTTTTTCGAAAGAACCAGGACAAGAATTTGCAGCCAATTGCCATCTCAACTGCAAGAAATAAACCTGATAATAACGATTCCCAATATATTTTACGACGAAGTCCGTTGAGATTGTGCTAGCTTTAATACATTGCCTTATAGCAACCCAACACAGTATTTTTCTCTTAGATGCCATTAAACGGTGTGATTTGATTCAAAAACTCTACTCACTATAGTCCTCTTAAATCGTTGGAATACTTGGCCAAGATTAGAGCATTGTTTGCAGTTGCTTTGCATCTAAATACAACATAGCTCAAGAGTCAGCAGGAAAGATTATAACTTTAAATTACCGGGCTTCTCTTTTTCCTTCCAGAACAAGGCATGCATCCCTATAATTAAGAATATTTTGCCTCTTCACTCAAAGAAAATAATGATTGGGTTACTTACCAACGTACGCTTGACCCTGCGATAGTGTTCCTCTTCAACATCTCTCTTCTTGCGCCCTCCGCAGGGGAGACAACCCTATAACAGTATATTATGCTGGTAAAACATGCCCACCAACAGTAACTTTAGTTCACTTATTTCAGGTTGCCTTTCAGTTTCCGAAAATATTCCCTGTAAGCTAAAGTCAAACACGCGCTAGAGTGGGAGTCCCAAATGATCAAAATATGCATAAACTTTTCGAACATGTCATTTCGCATGAAGAGAAAACTTTAAAAAAATTTTGCACCGCATTTTCACTAACTAAAAGAAAGGAAACACATCTATGTGATCATGAAGTGAAAGCACTGATTGCGACTTTAACAACTGAGATTTTCAAAAAGTTTTAAACCCATACACATGGAAGTCAAGGCTTAGATGAAAGTTGTAATTGCAGCACCAGTTTTGTTTAATCTACTCAAATTAGAGCAGAGTTCCCAGTTTTGTATGTTTGCGAAAGTGAGTCGACTAATTGCAAAATGAATAGCTCCGTAAGAAGCTATTATACTTTTTAGAGATTATTTCAAAAAAAGAAGAAGTAACGACTTTTCGGGGATAGTTTTTCCATAAAACATAAGATGCAGCTAAAGAGATTAGCGCCCCTTTAATGACCCTTTAGCCATTGCATAAAAGGTCGCTACATAATTTTTGTACTTTGCTTTTCTGCAATAACTATATTATCTCAAGAATTCAAATCCCACAACTGAACGGGGTTGACTGGTTAGGAACTCCAATGTGAGGAAAAAGGAAGATCAAGAAATTCTAGATAAATTTGTAGAATTAATGCAAGCCTTACATGAAAAGTGTTCTCAGACAAAATGGAGTTTTGAATTAAAATCTATACCGTTAGGAAGAGCTTCAAAGGGTTTATTAGAAATTAGTCATTATTTGGCAAGCGCCTCTGAATGCGATTTATGAGTGTTTTTTTTTCAAAAAAAAGCACGCAGTACTTATAGAGTTTATTAGGCAGGAGGTAACCATTGCTTGAAGTATCCTTCACGTTAGCCCGGAAGTTCTTTTGTACCGTTCTCAAAAAATCATAACTTCTGATTTTCCAACGATTTACTTGCTTTTATTCTTGTTCGAAAGGGTAAAACATGCTTTTCATAAAGGTTTCCTCGCGGTGTTGAGCATATATTGCATAGATAGAGGCGAAAATACTTCAATTTTGATTTTCCTGCGTTTGGTCGAAAAATAAGAAACCTACAATAAAAATCGATGCATCGGTATCCTAGGTTTCATTATTGCCTCCCCCCCCCCACCCTGAATGGATAAAGTTTGTGCTGATTGAACATCTCAATGATTACGGTTTTCGAAAAAATCCAAAAAATCAAACTTGGTGTTTTGTACTGCTCGCTCAAATTCAAAACATTTCACAAAACCTTCAATGGTTCTATTAGAGAAAGCAGGTAATAGAACATACAATAACTGCTGCTTCGATTTTTATTGCAAATTTGAGATTTTTTACGACGAAACACAACAAAATCAAAGCTCTAGAAACTGCTGAATGCTTTAAAAAAAATCATGATTTACTCTTTCAAACAATAGTAGAAGAGCAAACGAATCTGAAGGATAATCAGGGGTTATGAGTTTTTAGAAATGGTGCGACAGAACTTTGGGGACGACCTAATATTTGACTTGAACCATTTTTGAGCAACTACGGACCATTTTATCCCAGTGACTCGTCCACATTTTAGCGCTCAAAGCTCGGCGTTCAAAGGCGCTCGGCAAATAATGTAAGCAGATCCTAAGAAGGGTCGGTAGCTCTACAGAATGGTACTACTTTTCCATTTGGAAAAGATCATTCGACTGAAAACGCTTTCCTTGTTAGTCATTACCTGTGTTACAGCACAGTATGTCGATGAGAAGTTTTTTTCGCTCGATTTGCTGATCTCGCTTTGATTTTGATTCTAAGCATAAACTGGGGGGCGGGCGTTAGGTACCCAGCCGAGGTGCGGGTGTTAGGATACCCAGCCATTAGTGGTAAACACTAAGCCACGCCCCTTGGTTGCTTCAACAGCGGGTACCTAATGATACACTCAGATCATAGCTGCTAGAACAGCTCACATAGCTCGCTAAAGCGCTGGCGCTCGCGACCCACAGAAAAATGATAGTTCAAGAAAATCAAAAAAAAATTGCGCTAGTGAAAGCGCAAGTTTACAACGCTTTTTCTATTGCTTTCTTTCAATCCATTTCAGAATTACAGAAACGGTGCTGAAATTTGGAACAGGGTAAACTTTTTATGAGCACTTCACAAAGTTTTGCAAGAAAAATCGTGATGATCTAAGCCGAAAATGTTAGCGGGAATTTCATAAAAGTAAACTTTGTAGAACACCAATAAATCAATTTTATGATTTTACTGAAGCAAAGCGCACTTTCGAATGCGCTCCTGGCAAATAAGTTGCACGGAGTATTGCTTTGTTTAAAAAAAACATTTTTGACATTGAGAAGTGGAATCGATTGCAAGAAGAGCTTCAACGAGAACTTGACATTAGGAGTCGGAATTCTATGAACGACAATGTGATCCATTAATATGGGAAGGGCTCTGTTCCACTCAATGAAAATTTTACACTACAGTTACAGAGCTAGCCAATTTCGGATGAGTGTGTGCTATAGAATGAAACAGGAAAAAGCAGCAACTCTACTGAGAACAGTTATTGACAAAATCTTTCGCTTTTTAGTGAGTTGCAAAAAATTTATAGCCTTGGTTGGATAAACTGAGCATATTTTGGCTGCTAGAAAAGAGACTGAATATGAAACAATTGCAATATGAAGGTCCTCCAAAGAAGCACTGCAGAGAGCATAGGTATGATAAAATACAGTAGCTCAATGGAATTTTCATACGGGATGTGAAATCTTCCGAAATAAAGAAAAATGTATGCTTATCAATGTAATGTCCTATAATCTGTTGGCCTTAACTATGGCCGAAGTAATAGCCTTAATAATCTACGATAACATAGCACAATTCCTGCGGCAATATTAACGCAAGTACTACAACCCTTGACTTTAGCCTCAAAACGAGCCTGACGACAAAATGTGAAGGGAATATTTCGTGCAACTTATTTTCGAAACGCATCCGAAAGTGCGCTTTGCTTTATCAAAATTATAAAATTTTGATTTATTGCTATCCTACAAAGTTAACTTTTGTGAAATTCCCGCTAACATTACAGGTTCAGATCATCACGATTTTTTTGCAAAATCATGTGAAGTGCTCATAAAAAGTTTACCTGTTTTTAATTTTCAGCACCGACTTTCTGTGTTCTGAAATGAATCAAGAAAAGAAGCAATAGAAAAAGTGTTGTAAACTTGTACTTTCATTCGCGCAATTTTTTTTTGATTTTCTTGAACTATCTTTTTCTGTGAGTCGCGAGCGCCAGTGCTTTAGCGAGCTATGTGAGCTGTTCTAGCAGCTATGATCTGGGTGTATCGTTAGGTACCCGCTGTTGAAGCAACCAAGGGGGGTGGCTTAGTGTTTACCACTAATGGCTGGGTACCTAACGCCCGCACCTCGGCTGGGTACCTAACGCCACGCACCCGCATAAACTGTATACGAAAAATTGTCAGTGATAGCGTCACTGTTTGGCAATGATTGGAGAGAGGTGCTCATATATCGTAAGTCAACCCAATCTCAGAGATGGTTTTAGATTGATTTTCCAAAAGTGCTTTGAAATTCAAAATTATTTGCTTGATGGGCCATAGATCACTTACCATCCTCTTGACACGAGCAGCATAATGATCACTTCGTTTGCACGAACTGCACGAGGAAGCGGTCTAAAATAAGTTTTCAGCGTCGAAATTGAGGAGGTCATGAGCGTGACCGTACCGATAGTGGTGCAAAAATTGAAGCCAGACTGTTGTCGCACGCTCTACAATTTGCTTGTCGCTTCATTCGTGCAGTGAGTTTGGGTTGACCAGCCGCAGTGCATTGTTGGCAACCTCTGTTTAGGCCTGTAAGTGGAATTTCAATGTTGGAAGCTTTGGGGTATAACCTTTGGCTGTTATTCATGCTTGATAACTCTGCGCATCCAACAATGGCTCAAAAATCAAAAAAAAATCTGAAAAGTATTCTCTTGTCTCAAGAACGCTTGTTCAAATTTATAAGAATAATTGACATGGATATTAATCGTGAACAAAACTAGAACTGCTGAGGCACCCTGAATAAACTATGTTCAAAGGTTTATCAGTTTCCACTTTTGCCATACCATCGAAACATCACTCTGCAGCAACAAATTGGAAAAACGACTGATTTGCCGGACAAAGTCTTAGGATTCGTCACATAACATATTTTTGTAATAATACACGGAAAGATTCTTGCACAGCTGGTCATGGTGCATATGTATGATTTAAAAAAAACAGAAAACCGCAGAAAATACGCCGACGTCACCTTTTTACTCCCCCAGTTAAGTAAAAATCCGATATTATTTTTTTTCACAGCGAACAAACATTCGAAATGCTGCTCCTTCCTGCCGACTTTTGACTTCTTACAAGAACAGCTATAATTTGTAGTGCATGCTTATCTATTGTTTTATCTGCGACTCACAATTTTTCATAATTTTAATGAATTAATTATAATGAGAGATGTGTTGTTTTTTCAACAATACAATCCCAATAATATTTGTTGCGCCTCGCTGAACAAAAGAATTTTTCGCTAAATTTCGTATACGGGAATGGTAGTTCAAAAGCAAGCTAAAGCACAAAAGTTTTAAAATATGTAGGAGCAAAAAGGCGAGGGTCGTTCAAAATCTGACGAAAAAACGCTGGATATCATCGTAGGAAAATGGGTGAGATGAATTGAATCTACATTGATATATCGTAACATATCTCTGTAAGTTACCTGGACTTCTCTTCATTCTTAGTGATCGGTGAAGGCGTCGCCGACATGGGCAACTTGGGCATGGTCGGAAGCATGTTGGAATTGTTGGAATCTGAATGGAATCTGCAAACTTAGAACTAGAAAGGAACGCAATTCTCAACAGTAGCAAGGTTTAATCACTAATCGGTACTTTTCCGTTATCCGGACCCATTTTTTCAGAATGCTCTCATAAAATACGTTCTTTAGCCTAAGAACAATTTTTTATAGATTCCACGAGGACTACCTTCCTGCCACGTGTCAGAAAAATATTGACACGTTTCGGTCCATTCTGACATGTTTTTTCGAAATCATTTCCGGTGAAATAAAAGAGCATTTGTGATTACCTAAAAGCTGCTTGATTGTTTTTCATGAGAGCAAAAGCTATATGAGAACGTCTTGACCGTTTTCAGCAATAATTCAGCATTGTCTTTCTCTTCAACTGTTTGCAAATTTAGCCAGACGACACTATAAATGATGGCTTGAAGTTCCTCGCTATTGCTTGTCACTTGAATGATGGGATCCTAGTTCACTTCTCTATTCTGGGCAAACCTAATCTGTTCAGTCAATAACGGAATGACGTTATTGGGATAGCAACGCTTACTTTTGATAGTGTTCAATCGAAAATGAGGCCACTATTAACTAAAAAACAGAATAAACTTACGTCGCTAGGTAGGGCAATTTAAAGTTTTGGTTAAACCTGTTAAACACGTAAATGACATGTCAGAATTTTTTGACACGTGGCAGGAAGGTTGACACTCCTTCCTGTGGAGTCGGGACCAAATATGGTACGAGAGAAGAAGCTACATCCTTCTTTGGAAAAATGGGTCCGGATAACGGAAAAGTACCCACTAATCAAATACCCCAACATAATTCTATAATTTTGAAATTAGCAATTTTGGATATATCAATTCCCTACTTTGCAGAAATCTCAACGGTTTTCGCTCTAAAGGGGGGTCTTGAACTTTTGGCAGCGTATGGTAGTAGGGCCCCATATCAAGTCAATGCCCAAGTTGCAAAATATCGCTTCAGAAGCAAGAAAATCGCTTCGGAATAACGAAGCACGAGGACCCTTAGAGGCACCGCCCTCCACATCCATGCCCGCCCATCCGTGAGCGCCCATCCAATCACTGTAGCGGAGAATCGTCCTGCGGGTTCTCCAGAACGGGATTGTCGGAGTTTTCGAGTATTCCCGACTTCATATTCGGAATCAGGGACCTGAAGAATTCCTTGAAACGAAAAACTTGAAAGTCGAGAATCTGGGTTGATAATGCCTTTAAGTCAATTTAATCCCCAGCGTATTTTTTAAACCGGCTTTGAAAAATTTCTACTTCAATTTGCTACCTATATAGCATGATACGTAACTCTATAAAAATGGATTAATTTCGAAGCAATATTATTATTTCTCACGTATGAAGAAATGAACCCTAATGAGAGAATTTTTCGATATATCCATGGGTGTGGGTAGAGTCTTACAAAATATTCCCAAAAAATGGTATGTAAAACCTTGTGAATTTTGGTTTGAGCTATTTCTTTGATTTGGTCTTACCTTTGTTTGGAATAAGGAGAGGTTTTTTATTTGTTTCAAAGAAATCCGTAATGCGGAAATCCTAAAAAAACAATCCTGTTAAACGCTATGCTCTCCTGTCGAGGTCTGATCGGAGGTTTAATTTATCAAACATGGTCTCTCTCCAGGTAGATCGGAAGTGCAATTTGTTAGAGTCGAGAGTACATTTGTCAAGCTTTGACCTGCAAACAGCTGGAATGGTGAAAGCTGCAATTTATCTCGACGTTCTGTTGTTCTGTCAGGCCGGTACAGATATTTTATCACTTTTTTTAGAATCCGCAATTCCCGTACGGTGAGGATAAAAACTTCAAGCTGTATCCGATGCAGAATTTCCATTCTTTCTAGTGCCATATACGTAATGTGATTCATTGAGAGAGCTCTGACAAGGGAAGTCACTTAACTTAGGTCGGGCTTTTGAAATAAGACACATACTTTTAGAATTAGCTCGGAACGCTGATTCCAAATATGCTATCCTTAGCTGCGAAGCGTTTCTCTGAAGCGAGTTATGAGCTTTTTTAGTATGTGTCATTGACATACAGCTGAATATGGAAAGAAGGTCTTTGGATGAAAATCTGCCCAAAAAGTGGTGGAAAATTAAAATAACATTAAATTGAGTCATTTGGCATTGATAGGGTATAATATGGGTATAATATGCATTTGAACCACTAACTAGATGATGATACCGTAGCATGCCTAAGTCGGTCAACACGCAAAATTTGCTCAGGAAAAAGCTCATATTTCGCTTTAGAGGAATGCTTCGCAGCTAAGGAAAGCAGATTTGAAATCAGCGTTTTAAGCTGATTCCAACCATATGTGTCACATTTCAAAAGCCCGACCTAGATTAAGTGACTTCCCCTGTGAGATGTTCGCAGGAGATTGTAGCCCTTTGTTTTCACCATGTCTGACATTTACCACGTTCTAGAACTTCCATCTAAGACATTTTGGGGGAGCTTTGATCCAAATAAAGCAATTTTGGTCCTGACGCAGTATATATACTAATACATCGCCGAGTAAGGTTGTTTCACAGATTGTCATGCCTTCCAGACCTATTCGCATCTCTCCTTCACCTCCGTCAAGAAGCAGCACTCCTGCAAATTCTAGAGGTAACAATCCTGATTCCAGGGAGGATATGCGTACCCCCGCACAAGGGCTCAGTAAATAGTTCACCATCATCGATGCACTCATAGTTAGAGATTTGACAGTTAGTTTTGTAGGTTTAATGAGCGGTTTTATCGAATCAAAAAAACTCCTTTTTTCGGTCATGCGAAGAGAATTAGAAAGTGAACCAGCTAGAACAACCGCTAACTGGTCTGTAAGTCGTGAATTAAAGAACTAAGGGCGGTACTACCGCATTCGTACCCCGAAGTCTGTAAAAAACACGAGGAATGACAAATGCCTTTCGGGATTTCAGTGGCGAAAACAATGCGTGAGCTCGATGGCATTAAAAAAGCCAGGCGTGTAGAACATAGGATGAACATGAATTTGCATAAGATATTGTTGATGAATTTGATGTTGTTTGAAAGTGGTTTTTCAGGAGGTCCTCGAGTTAAGCGAGACTTATACAATATTAGGCTTCTATTCATGTACAACGGGGAGGTGGTACGTCAACCTCAGACGTTGTTGGAGGAAGAAATGAAAAAGAAATAGTGATGTCGTTTCTGGTTAAAGAAGAAGTTCAGGAAATGTGGATAAGAAGAGAGGACTGGAGACACCAGACAAATCTTCTTCCTTCTAACCCTCAGAATTTCATGGGAACTTCCCGAGGGCTGTGTGAGAAACTTTCCCTGGATCACCTGGGAAAGCTCCCATAAAGCGGGAAGTTCCTAACTGCGTTGTTTCTGGTGTCAAAGTTCTCGGGGAATTCCTATGCGCTTCCATCCATCTCTGTATTGGATGAAACCCTCGGAAGTTTGCCGAAATTGCTTTCTCCGGAAGTCCCCATGAATTGCTTGAGCTCTTTTGTTCAACTTTCTTATCTTTAGTAATTAACATAAACAATCGCTTGTGTCCAATACACTGCACCTGTAACCTGTAATACCGCTGCACCTTCGTGCAAAGGTATTGCACCCCTTGTCATTGACAAAGCTCCCCGGAAAACAAAATTCTGAGACCGCCGGCAGCGTTCTCCTATGGTCAGCTGAGTCAATAAATAAAAGTGCAGATCCTCATAGAATACCAAAATTCTTACCGAACAACAGATTACCACAGGAGGTGGAGGTGGCGGGCAACAAGGTGGAGGTTGGCAACAAACTGGGGGCTGTGGACAGCACTGCATAGGCGGTGGTGCAGGACAACAAGGAAGAGGTCCTGAAGTGATAAGCAATAAATTTTAAGATATAAATTTCCTAAAAAATTCATGAATTTCCGGTTATTTTTTTACAATGATTTGTTGAGGGCTTCATAATATAATGATAGGTCTTACCAGAATTGATGCAGATTTTTCGAATACTTAGTTTGAATAATTATAATTCACAAACAGAATCCTGGTGCGATTGAAATTGCTGCAATCAACAAATTTATCTAGTGTGCACGCGTTGTCGTCACAGACAAAAATTCTACAACCGAAAATTTTTGAAGTTTTTTTTCGAGAACATGAAAACTCTTACTGGAAGATACTTTGAAGAGTCAGAGACTGATTTTCATTTCTCTGAAGACGCGAAAAGTTGCTTACTCGGAATTTCTATTGTCTCGCAGTAGCGTAGGAAGAGCAGTTTACGGTTTTTTAGAGAATATGCCCTAAGCTTACTCTTCCTGTATACATCGAACTCAATCGCTTCGCCTTCTAGTTTGCTTTGAAATTTCTCAGCTTAAAAACTAAAGCATGATTTTATATGCATTTTGTGAGAGTCGTTCACAAATACTATGCAGGTTTGCAGAAAATTCGATTTCTTACGGTGGATTTAAGCAAAAAATGCGAAAAGAAAGATGTTTAGGGTTTGATCCTTTGATTGCATAGGCGTCGGACTTCCGAAGGAACTCACTTTCAGGGAAAGCAAAACACTTCTATAAACTAGATTGAGAGGTTTCAAATGATATGTAAAATTCTCTAAGAAAAAGGATTTCATTTTGAACCAGCAGCTCTTAAAAGAGATGTGAAAAACCCTCATACTTCTGTTACAACTCAATGAAATTTTTTAGAGGTTTGAGAAATTTTTTTCTATAAATAAAAGAAGTTCTAGCTCATAAGATAGACTCACGTATACAACAGGGCTGCACTGGCGCGCAACACGGCTGTTGTGGAACAGGACAAGGACATCCACCGAATCCACCGAATGAGGATGCGCCTATGGGGCCACCGCCTGAGTAGCCCAATGCTGGGGCGGAGTATTGTGAAGTGAACTGTGGTGAAGGCAGTGAAAGCGGTAACTGTGGCGATGACTGTGGTTGAGAAAATGGTAGGCTGGGGATTGCGTAGCTGGATGTCGCTGATGATGGTATGAGACGTTGTTGTACTGATACTGATACGAGAGGTTGTTGTGCTCCGTAAGTACCTCTGGAAAGATAAGTATTTGATAGCAACGAAAGTCAACGATTTGCTTACCCTTGAGAAGGACCGAGATCACCTAATGATGTGAGCTGTGCACCTTCTGGTAAGCCCGATCGTGGAGTCATCTTTGACGCCAATGGCGTTGACCCAATTCTGCCAACTTTGGATTCAAAATCGTCCTCGTTGCCCCTACTAAACGCGGTTATCAATTTATTTTTGCAAATGAAAATCTATGTTTGATTGAGAACATATTTTCGAGGGTTTATGTAAGTAAGGGCTTTTATAAAGACAACACAGCAAAACCGAATACCTGGTCTTGCTCGAATAAATGCTGATTAGAAGGAATTAACTAAGTTGTTGTCCAAGCGGCCGCTTATACGATTACTGTTATTAATTATTGAATTATTAGTCGTTTCAAGGATTGTAACCTAAACTCTCAGCTCAGACCTACTCTCCGCCGTACGAACGGGTAGTTTGAGTGGAAGTTCAAAATCAGTTTTCTCGTCTTTCTTAAAAATGATGTTGCCTGGACAGTGGCCTTTGCTTATAAATCAGTTTTCAGGTAGAAATACGTCTGAGTCTTGAGGATGGGCTTCCAGAAATCGGATTTCTAAGGGTTTTACCCATTTTGAGTTTTATAGCCGTAATCAGGACCATGAAAAGGTTTTAAAATAAAATGACTCGAAGGAGGAGTTTTGAGTGGACACTGCCTTCAAAGAATAAAGAAAAAAGCAGTGCAATACCCGTGAGAAGGAGTAAGTGTTACTGGTGTGGGATGTGAGTTTTTGTGTGACACTGGACCACTTGTGAACGATGATTCATCTTCTTCCGTTAATCTGAATATCAGAGTTAATTGGTGATGCTCAAATCCATGCGAATTCAATCAATACAACCAACAATTCGAAATTTGTAAATTTAACCCTGAATAACATTCCGGGTAACTGTGGAGATATCGCGATTTGAATCAAATTTTTTAAGGGTTTTGTATGCTTACAATCACACATATTCCTGGCAGAATGCCAACGCAATTTTTACACTACTTTCTTGTCAGGATTCCATTGCAAAATTAGAGGTTTGCGATAGAGCTTTATGATTAGTTTGGCTGAATATTTTTTATTTTCTCTTCTTTCAGTGAACCTAAAAGTGCTTTCTAATTTCTGATCGAAGCGGTTAGTAAAAAGAAAACAGATACATAAATTTAGCATGAATAGTTAACCACACCTGAAAAGCTCGCGAAAAAGCGGAACAATTCAAATCCGGTTTTTTTTTCATTCCTGCGCCTTGCGTCTTTTTTCCACCAGCTATGAGCGATTTGTAGCTAGGTTCCAGCACTAGGTGGCATTTGGGATTGAAAACGAAGTCCCCTTTGACGCTGCAGAATTTTACGGGTAACCCATGGATCTGTGAAAGTACGGCTTAAAATCTGCAGCGATCTATGAGTGAATTAAACCGAGAAAAAATCAGGATGGCGAAAATGAAAAAGTTTTTTTATATGTCAAGTGCCGTAGCAAAGCAGAGGGGTCGAAACTTGGACTAAAGTGAGTACTTACAACCGGAGCTTAAATTGAAGAATAGATTTACGTGAAAATTCTTAAAAAATTGTATAAAGAAGGGGTAAATTTTGACTTTATTCGGTCTCGCGCAATCTCAGGGTGCTCCCATTGCGCAGGAGCAACTGCGTTGGTCCGGTCTTCTAACGTTGTCTCTGAATGGAGATAAGGGGCCTGAAAGTGCCTGGCTGAGCGGAGTCTGATATCAGACTCCGCCCACCAGGGACTGCTCACTATCTTGTCAATACGTGCCTCTCGACACGTGTTGACAAGGTAGTGAGCAGATGCTGCACACTGCACACTTCAATGCAACTGCACCCGTGCAGTTGCAGCTCCTTCCCGCTGGCCTGCCGACGGGAACGAGCAATTCGAAACTCGTCCGCGCCCTCAAGACCGGGTCCCCAAGAATCGGGTTTCTGTGAATTTTAGAGAGTTTGAAGTTCGGAACTGTAATCAGGGCCACGGAAAGGCCCCATAATGACGAAAACATGGGGGGACCAAATTCTGGGTGGACGCTGCCTTTAAGCATAAAGGTCATGTTTTAACACGTTGGGAATTGTGGAACACAAGTTGGTGCACTAATCGTGTTGTAGCATGTTAATTGACCTGTTAGTGTTCGAAAGACGTTACGGCCTCAAATTGGGGCTTACTATGTATAAGAGTTGTGCTTGCTATCCTATTAGATACGGAAATCCCCTTAAGTACTTTCGATTCGATGAGTACGATTTCCCTTTTGCTTTGCCCCCAGAAAATACAGCGTGTGAAAGCGCCACCTCTGCTGAGCCCTGTATGTAGCCAGAGTATATCTCAATTCTGTTTCAGATTAGTAAACGAAGATGTTTGGTAAGTTAGTGAGAATTAAAGTCTAGAGGATACTGATTTCGTTGTGAAAGCGAAGGTGGAAATCATAATCAAAAACTTACATAGCACCATGCGATGTAAGCGTGATTTGCTTCAAAACGTGAGGTCCCTAAAAGTAACTGATATGTTACATAATTCAACCGTTCTGTATGAAAGGTAAACTGTAAAAGTGAATAATCTGTGACAAACAGTCATGGATGCTTTGGAAAGCCCTAAGTATTATAGAAGTAAGCTGTTAGCTCCACGCTTAACTTCACTTTTACTCAAGTATAAAGTTACCGTATTCGATGAGCGCAAAGAAGAACTGGATTCGATTCTATCTCCAATTGCGGTGATTTCGCTGAGACCATCGTTGATGCTCTAGAGTGAGACTTCAAAGCAATTATCGTACAACTGACCAGAGCGTACCTTTCTTGAAAAGTCTTGTCCCCGCCCTTGTGGTCCCTCGGCATCTCTGCAGCAAGGGCAACACTTATTGCCGGCCTGAAAGGTGCTAGACAGAGTGAAGCTAGCTCTGTGTTCAAAAGTACAGATTATCCGCACAGACCATTGTTTTTCTCTCATTCAATAACTTCCTGTGGCACTGCGTATGCCTCGCTTTTGGAGTGAAATATTATCAAAATACAGGGTGTTCCAAAAAATGTGCCTAATGTTTGACTGTTAATAACTCTCTTGTATGAAGTCTTTCAAAAAGCTTTGAGTGCCGTTTCATAAAGCTGGCTTCAACTTAGGTTTACAGCATAGAACGAATCACCTATCGCTCTTTATTGTTACAGGATTACCGTAGAAACTTCAAGCATATGGTGTCATTGTAAAAAGCTGCCGTTTCAAAAAAATTCGAGAAAAAAAACTTGTGTAATAGGGTTTTTGTGAACGCTGAGTTCAATACTCAACTATGTACAAGATGGCGAAGCTTTCTAAACGGTGTAACCGCACTTTTTAGAACTTAAAAAAACGTCCGCTACTGCTTACCTCGCATAACTTTCTAATGAAACATCACGATAACTTGCGGACTTCATATTTAGAATTAGCAACTTAAATTAACCCACTGTAAAAGTTGTCAAGCTGTTCTATTTCCTTTCTGAGACAAATATGGAATCTCATGACGCAAAACTCTCTTTGAAGTTTATACCGTAATCCTACAGTAATGAAGAGAGATGGGTGATTCGTTCTATACTGCAAATCTTTAGCTAGCTTTACAGAATGGTACCTAAAGCTTCTTGAAAGACTTCATTGCAAAAGAGTTATCAACAATCAAACAGTAGGCACATTTTTTAGGACACCCTGTATGTAAGCGGGTTAGGTCAAAATTCTATGTTTAAGAATTACCGCCTGAATTTCCATATAAAACATTGACAGTGATTATGCTTGCAAAAATCTCGTAGAGATCGTTTGCTCTACTTAATGGTGGCAGCATGCTCCTATCAGTGCTTAGAATAGAACAAAAACTTTGCCTAAGTGCAATGTGCCAGAACTTGAGCCAACCTAATAGCTCCCAGTCAGAATGCAAGATTGGTTCATTTAATCAGAGTATTTTTAAGACATGGAAGGGCTAGAAAGGCTTCAGAATTCAAAATCGTAAATTTTCCAATCCACAATGAAGCAATGTCGAATCGAATCGCTCAGATTTACCTGCAGTGTATCCACATCATCCAAACCATTTCCTTTCCTGTTTTGCTGGCTTTCTGTCGGATTTTCCGACAGTTGCTTGAAAATGTCTGTGTCGTCTGGACTACTTTGATTCGTTTGAGATGGCTGTCTTTCCATAGCTAAATAATGTCAATTTGAATTGAACTTTTTCTCTCCCTGAGTGGATTGAGGGATTTGATTATACGGGTCGTATGTGCAAAACTCACATTCAGGGGTCATTGATACTCTTACCGTTGGGATCTTCGTTTCTAAAGCAGTTCAGCATATGATCTTGTGATATTATAACCAGTGGGAAAACATTATTTTCAAAAGTGCTTGAGGGTGTTTGGAAAATTTCTGGCCTCAAGTGCATCCGATTCAAATACTGATGCGATTTTTTTTATTGTGCTCATCAAACTAAGGACCATCATATCTACAAAGAGCAACCCCATAAAAACCTTAATCGCAAGCTACTGCAGATCGATCTATTACTGTATACAGAGAATGTAGATTTAGATATTTTGAAAATAAAAAGCTGTTATCCTTTTCCAACCTCAAAAAAAAAGAATGAATCAGATGCATTTTTCCAATTTTTCAAGGATGCCGAATAAAGGTGGTCTCTTCCGGGATTCTTTTCAATTAAGGTTCAAAGTAATCTCTAGGTTTAGCGAGCAATAAAATTAAGCCCTCGAAAGTTCTCTTTCGAAATAAATAAGTCCGGAAACTTTCCAAACACCTTGTCGAGCTAGGTTGTAAAGAAAATCTCATACAATACTTACCTTCGAGTGTAGCGCCTACTGGGTTGCCCTCTTCTCCGGTTAGAGCGTCCACGTCTGACTGCAGCTTTGTTTCGAAAACCTTCATCTTGTGATCATGCGAAGAGCTTTCATTGATTTTTCCAACTCTCAGGTGATGCTTGTCCTGTCTTCTTTCCAACTGATCACCATCGTTTTCCGGCCCTTGACCTGGGTAACCAGTCTCTGTTTCCCCAGCTCCTAGTGGATCGTAAGGTGTAGAGGCATTAGGGGTGTAGGGAGAGGCACTAGGTCTGTGACCAGCCCTATGTTCGCCTGTTGCGTTTGGAACATAGTCTGGCGATTTGCTAAAGAATAAATTTGAATTTCAAAATCGGCAAAAAAATTATAGGACCTTCTTCCCAAGATCTTGTCTGCTGGATCGCCGCCATTGCTTGAATCATAAAACAGACTGCTGTCGCCACCTCCACCATCCGATTTCAATATCGGAGCGCTAGGAGGCGCAATGGGTTCGCGTGCCGGAGGAGGTTCAGGTGGACCCTGAGAAACAGTTTGATGGTCAGATTATTGAGTCAGCAGATTATGCAAACTATGATTTTCACAAAAAATCAGCGGTTCATTTTACTCTTCAGAGTCTAGTTTTACAAGCAGTGTTTTAGTTCAAAAATCCTTTTCCCCCATCTCAATTAAACTTTTTTCATTTTTCGAAGCAAAAAGCATGGGCAGTAAGCGTACGATAAGACCTGACATCGTCAGATACATTCCATATCTTGCAGAGCCAAAAGAGAAATTCCCTGTCTACTGCTTTTACAATATGCTTATATCCAGTAAGGGCTCAGGAGCCTTTTTTCCCAAAAAAGTCTGGAAAGTTTTAAGTTAAGAGGAAGTACACGGATCCAAGCACGGAATGTGCCCAAAAATTTTGGAATGCTCTATTTGTGTTAGAAATGCACATAAATACTATCCTTCACTTAAAACTGATTTAAATAATTTCTGAGACTTTATAACACATTTGGCTTCGTAATAAAGTTTTTCGCTGGCGCAGCAATAGCGACGCTTTTTGTTTTCAAGATTCGGAGATTACATGCAAAAAACAATTCTGTAAAGCAAAATTTTTTGGCTTCTTAACTTATGCCACTCATCCAGTATTGCCCTTTAGCATGCTTCCTCGAAAAAGTTCTTGGGCGCTACTAGTAGAAAACAGTGGCGTACCCAGGATTTCGGCTCGGGGGGGGGGGGCGCGGCAAAAAAAATTTTCAAATGAAGGTGCGTGGCGTTAGCCACGCACTCCGAAAAAATTTTAGGGGGTCTTCTCAACAATTTTGTGGACCCCCGACCCCTAAAATCTGGAAAAAGGGGGCGTGGCGTCAGCCACGCCCCCGAAAAAATTTTTTTATAAGGCTAATTTGAATTTTTAAAAAATTTAAAAAATTGTTTTAATTGTTTATAAAAATAAAGAAGTCATTTGCACATTTTTATAACTCATGTAAGTAACTTTCAAAAATTTCGCGACCCGTTCTCGGGGGGGGGGGCGCGCGCCCCCCCCCCGCCCCCCCCCCTCGGTACGCCACTGGTAGAAAACTATCCCACTCCTTAGAAGAAATACGAAACGTAGCAATTAGAAATGTTGAATTAAAGGATTCTGCTGTTGATATTGCTCCAATTATCCATATCCATCAAAATCATAGATCATCTCCCACATCGCTTCGATTACGGTAGCAGATCACTCAGAAGAAATACTTTTCTATACTTGGTTTTTATTATTGATATTCGTTCAACCGTAACTTTCGTTCAACTTAGCAACAAAATCACAAAGAAAACTACCCACATTGAGCTTTTCCTGCGCTTGATCATTGCTGCCCCTTAAAACTTTCGGTACGGGAGTCCATCCAATGTCACGCGAATCATGAGGTGAGGTTGCTGGAGCTGCTCCTCCAGGGGGAGTGGGACCATCGGATATATTACCCTCATAGGAAAATTCTGGTTCGGATGGATATGTTGCACCCAAGGGGATGAGTCTTCTTTGTGGATCTGGGGGAAATGAAGATGGTGGACTCGTCGGAGGTGGTGCTGCCACCGCTGGCGGAGGTGCTAGTACCGCCGCTGGCGGAAGAGGTGCTGCCACCATTGGCGGTGGAGGTGCTGGTGACCTTGGAGATTCATTTATGTATCTGGGTGGCCCAGGAGGATTTGGATTGCCAAGTGGTGGTCCGTTATTCACGAAAACAACATCTTCTGAAAGATAAAAGCATGAATTAAACATTCTATGTTGCGACTTGGCTAATAATTCACGCCCCCGCACCTTGCTTTTTCTGCTTGAACGAGTCCTTCGGGTCTTTTTCATAGTAAAACTGATAGTCCATGCTTCCCACATCATCCGAGTTCGACTGATACGGATTCCGCGGCATAGTTGGTACTTTATTAGACAATTCTTCAGGTGGATACATTCCTGGCGGACGAATCAATTCTTTTCTTAGAGCCATCACCATGGGAATCAGAAGGAACAATATAATCATCCCTGAAAGTAGCAGGTAGCCAAAGACTTAATGAGCAGAAGACATTAGAAAGCGAGATTAGCAAGTTTTTTCTGCCAGATTAAGGCGAAATTAACGAGTTTTCTAATTCGTCTATCACCAATCATGTTCATTTTGTTATTGTGACATACAACGAGGCGAAAAGTTGGGAAGAGAAGGAAAATTAACAGGAAACGAAAGGGAGAAAAACAAGAGGCTTTGGTTTCGAGTTTCGTTGCAAAAAAAATCTCTGATAAATGAGAAAATGTAGTTAATTGATCTAATCAAGCATTTGGAAAAAGACATTAATTTACAAAGAGATAAAAAATTTGAGACAGCTTTGAGTGCTATAGTCGCTTCAATGATATGATCTTCAATAAAAGCTTGCATACACGGACAAACAAACCAATTCGAGTTCTTTGATATGAGACTTGTAGTGAAAGCTTTGCATGAGCATTCAATATAATTTTTTTAGGAATAAGAGTTTTGAGAAATTGAAGATTCAATGCATTTCACTTCGCATGATACTACAAAACTATAGTAAGGGGTACAGCTTGATTCATCTTATCTCATCTTGGCCCTTTCAAAACTGGATTATTTTTTGTGAAACCATTTTTGTAATTCAGATGGCCTTCAAGTTTGATTTTGCGAGAATATGGCTGATCTAGAATGATTATGAGTTATTCGAGGAATCCTATATCCATGCATATCTGCAAAGTTTGTAAAATTGGCCAAAAGAAGAAAGTCGCCAAAATTCTTTGGGTTCATGATTTACGAGTAGTCGAGCACATACAGAGACACATGATTAGGATACCGATCACCGAAACGAAGTAATTATCCATTATAATTAACTAAAGATGTAAGCTCGGAAAAAATGCAAAACTATTAAGGTGTCTCATAATTTTTTACCCGCCGTCTTTTCGTATCTTTCCTTCATCTGGTCTGGCTTGAATAATCGTTCGACAGTGCAAAGCAAGCTCTACAAGATGGCTATCAAAAATGCGCCTAAATCATATCCCACGAGAAGTTCTGAGCTCAAATCTGGCAGTAATCAAAAACGAACTTTTTTTCAAAAATCGTATCTCCAACCCAAAAGTTCCAAAAAAATTCCCCCTTTATTCTAGCACATGCTTGACACATCGCATATTCAACTGTACACTCTTCGAATTTTCTTAATGATAGAGATAAAGAAAAAAATGAATGAGGGAAAATGGCAAACTCAGCCTCTAGACGCTCTTAGCTCCTCATGTGATAATTAGCTGATACATACGGAAGTACGACTATGCATTTGGATTTTTTAGGTGCCCCACTTCTCGAAAAATGTTGATGTTTAGGATAAAAACGGTAAAAAAAATTATGAGACATTCTAATAGGTTGTAAGACTAAAGAAAAAGCATGGCGAAAAAATTCTGTTGAGGAAATTTTTTTGAAATACTTTAAGTTCTCATAAAATCAAAGTGCTGCAAAAACGTTAATAATTTTAACAGCGGGAACGAGATGAATGAGCAAATGAGTACATAAGAACATACATCAGTGCAGATACGTGGTGATACAGCATTTTATAGTAATTTAGGGTATATATCGAAGGACAAAAATTTGTGAATAGGGAAGATACTCATCTTAGCAAAAAAAATGGCAAGACAGAGAAGGATGTTGTAATTACTTAGTTAATTAACTTTGTTGGTTACTCACATTTAGTGCCAGTGAACTATGGTGATATTCAAAAAGAGATGAAGTAAAAAGAAGCTAGAAAAAAAACTGAGCTGATCGGCTGCATCACGAAGATGTAGCGAGAAGGGTGATTTATGAGGGGTACTATCTTGCTTCGGACAAGACGGTATTCGCTGACGGGCTGAAAGTTAAGCATATGCTATTGTTTTGAGAGAGTGGGTGTACTGGGCCAGGAAACAATCAAGACTGAAAACGCGCTAATTTTTACCCCCTAATTTATCTCATAAGGTTAGCCCCATTAAAACGCGATCCCGTCACAAAGAAACGCTGATTGCGACGTGTTGCGCGTCGAGCGGAACGACGTGAAGCCCGCGCCGCCGCACCCCGACGAGAAAGATAGCCAATCCGGAATCCATCAAGGGGGAAAGTGACAACGACCGATTGAAAAGCAACATCGATAACAACCGCTATCTTCTGACAGCGCACGCTTCTCCAGATTTCATTTTCGTTGAAAAAAAAGCCGAGAAAGCCAGATAGATCCACTCTTCGTCGCTGATAGCGACGGCAATAAGCCTGTAAGGCATCTACTTCGGTTCGCACTTCTCCACCCAGTCTCAAAATCTCACTAAGGATGTGCTAACCATGAAAGGATCATTGATCAGAACTAGCATAGTGAGATGAAACCGTCAGCTGAATTTCGACCCTGTTTCTTCCCTTCCCTTGGCTACTATTTCAGTTATAGAACAATTTGCATCATTACAATACAATCCTGATATCACTTCTAATGCCGTAATCCAATGTTTTAGTGCAAAAAACCGAAAAAATTGATGCAAAAGTGTTCATAAAACTGAACCTTAGCTGGTTTTTAGTTTGACCTATTCGTTCCACCCCGCAACTATAAACACCCCCCACCAAGACATATGCTTCCCACTCGGAAGTGGTTAATACCATAAATAAACTATATAGGGGAGTAACTATAACTGTAAAGGCGAAACACGCGTAATGAACACCTCACATTACTACATACTATTCAAATTTAAAATCAGCAACTTAGATTAGTCTAATGATGAAATTTTGAAAAGTTGAGCATCTATTCTAGGAATAGTTTGTGGTCACTGATAGCTTAAAACGCCTTCAATGTGTCTACCGTTCCTACACTGATGAAGAGCAATGGGTGAGTCGCTTGATACTGCAAACCTAAGTTCAAGGCTGCTCTAGTAAATGATACTTGAAGCTAAGCAAAATATTGTGTGGAAAGAGACTTATAAACGATAAAAAAGTGAGTACTTACTTAATTTGGTAGGCGCTGCCGTACGGTAACGGAAGCAAATGCATGTGGCTAGTATTCTCTTGTTTCGCTGTTACCTCAAAGATCCATTCTTTTACTTGATATACAGAGTATCCCAAATGTAAGTCCACATTTTTTGAATGTCAATGACTTTCTTCCCACCAAATCTTTTTCTTTGCTTTAAACATCCTTCAGTAGTGGAGGCTTCAACTTAGATTTACAGTATGGAGCAAAGCACCCAACTCTTTTCATTACTGTGGGATTACGGTAGGAACTTGACAGAGTTTTGAGCCATTAATGGCTACAAACCGCCACATAATGGAGTACTCAACTATCCAAAAACACTTCATTAAGTTAGACTGAGTTGCTGATACTGATCAGAAAATCGCACTCTACAGTAAAGCTTTTTTCACAAGTTATGCCAATTATACCGTAACGACATTTTTTAGTGTTTTTCAAAAATGCGACTGGACCATTTAGAACTCTTGAAAACTCATAAAATATTCGTCTGATGAAGTCCGCATGTCTGAAGACAATGCTGCGCTAACTTTCATTTTTCGGGACGTTTTGTTCTAATGGCCTATTTCACAATGGCGCTATATGCAGGAATTGCTACCCTGATCCTGCAGTAATGAAGAGAGGCGGTGGTTCGCTTCATGCTGTTAATCCAAGTTTAAGCTCCTCTAGTAGTTTTACTTGAAGATAGAAAAAGAAAAGATTACTCAGAATAGAGTTAATAACGATCAAAAAGTGTGTACATAATACGGGACACCCCATATAATGAAAAGTCCAAGTGCCATCATCAAAACAGACCTAACGTTATCGTTATGTTTCGTATATGTTGTGATAAGCGTATGCCGGCATTATGGTCGAAAACAAGAAACGCTTTAACGAAAGAATTTGAGCGCTGACCATCGCTATGATGGCGACTTGTCCGCGAGCCAGGGGCAAGAAATTGTATAATCTTATGATAGAAAAACGTGTTTGATTATAATTGGACGCGATTGGAACAGATCGTGACCCTCAGAAGCAATCGTCTACTATAGGGTATGGAATGCATATGACAGAAAAGATTATCAAGATGCATGGTATTATGAAGAGATGGCAATATGCTTGGGCTACTGTGCACGTTTACCAATATCACGATCTCCTCTGGAAAAGATCTGTGATCTGATGTGGAAATAACGTTTATAACTTGCGACATTTTCACGATACAGTTGGAATACAGGGTGTCCCAAAAGTATGTATACGCTGTTTAAACGTTAATATCTCTCTTTTCAATGAAACTTTCGCCTTTTCAGGTATCATTTTTGAAGTTGGCTTCAAATTAGATTAACAGTGAAGAGCGACAATTGCTTTTCATTACTGTAGGGATTACGGTAGAAACTTTGAGAAGAATCAATCTAAGACCACTGAGACCCATATTTTGCGTCAAAAAGAACCGATAAACCGAACCAAAACTTTTTGCTATAGGTTAGTCGAAGCCACTCATTCTGAACATGAATTTTGCACTTTACTATAATGCTTGCTTTATAAGTTATTCAAGTGTGCCGAAACAATGATTTTTCCTATATTCGTCAGAAATGAGATTACATCACCAAAAAAAGTCCAGTAAACTCGTAAAAAAGTTGTGTAGTGATAGCTACAAGTGCGAAAACCCTGCCACACAATTTTCGAACACTTTTGAATAGGATTCTGTCAGACCATCTACTTCATGATGATTTATGCTAAATTTTTTTACCCTAATCTACAGTAATGAATAGCGACCGGTGATTCGCTTACTTCTGCATATTAAAGCCAGCTTCAAAGTTATGCGTAAAGGTAGGCAAGACTTTTTGGAAAGGGAAATATTGACGCTTAAAAGAAAAGGCAAGGAAAGGTGAGCAAAAATTCGTACTCGCTGGACATCAGCTAGAACAACCTATTCTGTGATGGCAGACCGAAAATAAGAGGGAAGATGTTTAACAGCACTGTGAGTATGCGTCTTTTGATCGACTCTTTATTGGCAAAAACAAATCATTGGTGTTTCATTAATAGATATCAAAGCAGGGTTGTGCATGCCAGCAGGTACATTATCTCCGCATGTCTTGTTATGTTTGAAAGAAATTTTCAATTCTACGTTATCTGGCACTTTCAAGGTTTACGACATTATGCATAACTTTAAGAATTAGTACGTCCGATTAATATATAAAATTGGACTGAGAACATCTACAACTTGGTTGTTAGACCTTTGTGCTGAGAATGCAGCTGCACATAAGCATTAGAACGCTGCGATTTTATGAGAAGACAATAACGATCAGCTTCTCACTTAATTATGGTAGAAATTTAATGTGTCAATCTTTTACAGGGTATCCCAAAAAATGTGCTCACTGTTTGATTGTTTATAACTTTCTTGTAATAAAGTCTTTCGAGAAGCTTTAAGTAACATTTTATAGAGCTGGCTTCGACATAGATTCAAAGTATGGAAAGCTTTCCATTACTGTAGGATTACGGTAGGTACTTTAAAGAGGGTTTTGAGCCATGAAAGGCCATATTTTGCCTCAGAAAGGAAACAAAACAGCCTGAAAACTTTTACGCTAGGCTACTAGAGTTGCTGATTGTAACTGTAAAGTTCCCAATTTATTATGATGCTTCATTGAAGAGTTATGCCAGGTAAGAGGTAGCGGCCAATTTTTCAATATTCCTAAAAAGTGCGGTTACACCGTTTAGAAAGCATCGCAATCTTGTACGTAGTTGACAATGAACTCAGCGTACATGAAAACCCCTTTACACAAGTTTTCGCATTCTTTGAAAATTTTCGAAACGGTAGCTTTTTCACAGTGGCTCTATGCCTGGAGTTTCTACCGTAATTCTACAGTAATGAAGAAAGATCGGTGATTTGCTTAATGCTGCAATTTAGGTTGACCGACTCTACAAAACGGCACCTAAAACTTCTCGAAAGACTTCATTGCAAAAGAGTTAATAACAATCAAACAGTAGGCACATTTTTGGGACACCCTGTAAAACCTACTATAATATTACAAAAATTATGATATCGTGCGCAAATCACAATCGAACAAATTGACCAATTTCCGGTAAAAATTTCCAAAAACTTGCCAAAAAACAGTTATCGAGTTGAACATGCAGTTAGTAAAACGACAAGACACAACAGTCACTTTTTAATGTTTCTCAGTCTTCAAATCATCTTCGGAACGCAAGACAATCAAAAAGATAAATCTCATACGAAATTTATGGGTGAATTCGTGGAGAAAGCGGCGAAGGTACAGCAGACTTGTTTTGAGCGAGATAAGCAAGTTAGTTGAGCGATGACGGCGAGATGACCCATCAAAAACCGTGGAAGACTTTCTCCGGATTACCTCGTGATTTTCGGTTTTTGCGCTATCTCCTATCTCATCATGACGTTAAAAAGTTCAAAAAGTGAAAGGAATTCATAAAAAACGTGTTTTTTCGCACGAAGTTCGCACATCATTATTTCAATAATATCCTGAAAGGTAAGAAATGTGATATCCACTTTTTTCTAGCCTACCTCGCAAAATGAATTTTTGAAAATTATCAATATCCGGGAACACTCGTTTGTGACATACACAAGTAAAAGATTAATGCTCATTCAGTGATATTTGCTACTCAATTTGGTGCTCACAAGCAGGATGACAATTTTGTCGAACCCACACGTACATTTTTTTCGATCAAAGCAAACCCGAGAATTTCTTGCTGAGCTTCAGTTCCATGTAGATCGTGCAAATCGTGTAGAGTATTTTAAAGTACGCATATTTAAGTAAAAATCGACGAAGCATGCAAGATTTACAGAATCGTTTTTCTAGGCCTAATTTTCGAACAACTTTTTCCTTCAAAATTTCTTTTTCGGTAGAGATTCTGCAAACATTGAAAAGCTTTCGTCATGTACTTTTCAACAATGATGAAATTAAGCTTCTATCTCATCTGTGAGAATTTCGCCAGCATCTCGCACAGCTGCACTCAAAATTGGAATTTCGTTGCTTAACTTCCTTAGCCACAATTCGGGTGTAAGTGAACGAATTCTTTTGAAAATATAGCATCTGTAGGGGACGGTCATCGTTTACACACTGCATTTTAAACAGATTTTTCGAAAATATCTTGACTAGGAAATTGGCGTCTTAAGATAAATACTTGCTGCTGGCATTCTATTTGGCAAAAAATTCCCATGATCAAGGCGATCGCCAAAGCTTCGCTCATTTCTGTAAGCTTGAGATCAAGCATCTTGCCTATGATTTTTGCAGAGAAATTCAGCTACACGGTGCATGAAGAATTTCAGATTTTCATAGTGTGGAGCCTTATGGCCCACCACAGACAAGCTCGAAAGTGCAAAATTTTAGAATTTTATTTTTCTTTTCGCAGAACTTTTACGATGAGGTTTTCTGTACGTACATATACTACTGAATTGCGACTACAAAATGAGCTAATTATCAGCTATAGGAACCAAACTTGAGAGGAGTTGTAAGGTTTCAAATACGAGGCTTTCAAAAGAGAACCTTTCGATTTTTTGACGCAAGATTTTCTTCTTGTTTGCACTATCAGTATGAACAAATGTGCGCTAAATTACGTAAAGCTTGCTGCTTCTAATGGTCTTGACTATATTAGAAAATATGAGGACTGAACAAAGTTATAACTTTACAAATTGAAACTTCTCAAAACCGACATTATTTTTGCACCAGCTTCATACTAGAATGCTTAAAACTAGATATTCGTTAATTAACATCCTTCGCTGCTCAACTTTACCACATCGGAAGTTCTATACTAAAGGCTACCACCGGACGAAAGCGCAAAACTTTGAGGGGTGGGGGGAGCGAACGCAATTGCACTACTTAGAACGCATGACTTGCAGGGGTTAACGACAATGGAGAAGGGCGCGCACCGCTAAAGTGCTGCATTTGCGCTTTTGTCTGGCATTAGCCTTAAGAATTTTGCAAGCACTAACGTCCAATTTTTTATTCTATAGCTCCTAGTCAACAAAATGCCAGATTTAGATTTAAAAAAATAAAAAAGACATCTTCTATTTCTGGCTTATTTTCTATCGATTTCTAGTCATCGAGAAAATAACGCCACTTTACAGATGAATGGTTGATCTGGAAGTATATGCGGATGAGTTAAAGGCGCCACCTGCTTAAGATGGGAATAATCATTGAGCGTTTTCAATTTTTTTTTCTAAAGTTAGCTTACAGATTTCAGTGGCTCAAACTCTCCATCTAATAACAAATTTCCCACAATTTTCAATCGCGGTAGCTGCTCAAATTAACTTGCGCTTGATTTACTTTTGATCTGTTGGATCATTGAGAAAATCACTTTGCCATTTTATAACACCTGCTTGCCGTAACGAGTTAATTAAAAGTAGGGTATGGATAGAGCGTAAGCACTACTCACTACATAATACATGGGATAGTTCGAAGCAGGATCCTCAGCGTCACCTCAGCCTTTTTAAGTAAAGATTAGTGGAGTTCTCTTAAAAAAAGCCTGATAAAAATTGAACATTTATGGGCACCGTCCATCCTAAGTTGAGGGTCTTGAGCTTTTGGCAGCACATTATAGTAGGGCCTCCCATCAAGTCAATGCCGAAGTCGCGGCGCAAAACGTCGCTTCGGAAGCGAGAAAATCGCTTCGGAATAACGAAGATGCACGAGGACCCCCAGACAGCACCGCCCTCCCCATCCATGCCCGCCCACCCATGCGCGCCCATCCAATCACCGTTCCGAAAAGACGTCCTGTGGGCTCTCCGTAACGGATGTTGGGGTTTTCACGGATTCCCGGATTTATATTTGGGATCAAGGACATGATAAGGCTCTGAAACGACAAAAACCTGGAATTGAAAATCTGGATGGAAGGTGCAACTACAACATAATAAATGAGTTTGCAACCTTGCCTTTAGCAATCTTCATTTGCAAAGTTTCGCTTCAGGACGCCGATTCGAAGTCCTTGAAAATGTTGAGGAAGTAAAGACGTTTGCAGAAGACCCAATCAAGATCCTTCTGTCAACCATTCGAGGATGACACGTGCTCAGATTTCCTTGGTATCGCCTCTACCCTCATATCAAATTCATTCAACTCTAAAGTCCTTTTATACATCTTAAACACAGAATGATGAAAAAAATTCTTGAGAAACAAATGATGGGAAAATTTTTATTTTTGACATGAGCAGCATCAAGCGCATTTGTGCCTCTCCATAAAAAATGTCTTCGTTTCGTTAGGTCCATTTTTGATTGATATCTGCACATATCTGCTGGGCATGTAGCTGCTTGCGGTTGTTACTTCACTGCTTTCCTTTTGAGATGACTCTTAAATAGCCCATTTATTAATTTGACAAATTTAATTCCCCCACATGTCATTTCTAAAAAATTTTCTCAGATTCAAAAAAAAGTGTGAATGCCCGAACTTTGAAAGCGGTGTTCGAATCGACCGAAAAATTGCTGTATACAAATTGGAAATCAACATTTAAAAGCTTTCCGTACCATCTCAGTGTTGATATAACAACCAATAATATTTGACAAGGAACGCCGTTCAAGCACAATTAACAACGACACAAGCAAAATGGTACCCAAAAAAACAGCAAGGAGTTGTAGAAAGAACACTCAAGCACATCCTGTTCACATTCCCTTTTTAGGTGATAGCGATAACGCTAACAAAGACGTAAGGAGAATTTACATTGACGACGATGAGGAAAAAAGTATATGCCCCTGCAAGATGTGTGGACCACCTGTGGTCCATCTAGCAGGAGCATATCCTTTTCTAGATAGCAATCTTTCCGAATTCCTGCATCCAAGGTAGTCTACGGGCCTTTTGGGACCTGTAGACGTCGTCGTTCACGAAAATTCTATGTGTTTACAAATAACCCTACATCTCGCAAATAATCACAATAAATCATAAAAGTGTTGCGCAATATTGCGTATCCCACAACGCGGTCACGCGAAAACAGGCGTCGCCTTCCATGGGTTAGAACTATACTTGGGTCCGAATCGAACAGAAATTCGATCATTCGAATAAAACATTCGAATATATTCGTATTCGAAATTCGATATTCGGAGTTCTTCCAATATTCGAAACTCGAATAATTGAGGAAACGGGGTTTCGAATAAAATTCGAAACTCGAATAATCAAAAAACAGGGTTTCGAATAAAATTCGAAAACTCGAATAATCAAAAAACAGGGTTTCGAATAAAATTCGAAAACTCGATCAATCAAAAAACGGGGTTTCGAATAGATTTTATTCGAATGTTTTATTCGAATGTTTGTTCGAATTCGTATTCGAATGAACTCCGTATTCAGATTATTCGACTTTGTTGCAGAGCCATCTGCTGAGTATTATCAAGCTCACTTCGTCCGCGATTTTTTTTCTCGCAAAACTAGGTAATGCATCTTTTGCAACTGTTATGACCTCTGAACTGTACGGAGAGTCGCATTCTTCCGACTGCTTGCGACAGTAAAAGAATCATATGTGGAGAGATGTCTTCAAATATAACGCCAGCTTACCACAAATGTTTAGCGTGTACAACTTACTAAAAAGATAAATGCCCTGCATTCTGTACTTCTAGAATAAGTTTTGATCAAAATTTATATCGACTGCTTTTTTAGATCGTCCAATAATGGGTAAAATACTTCGTGCTGATGTATAGACTAGTTGCCAACCGACCAATTTCATCGAATTTTGAAGAAGTTTGAGCTGCGGGGCTGGGAGTTGGTACAAAGGGGTGAGGGTGCTGATTATGGATAAAAATTTACTTTATCGATTTTATCGATTACTGGAGAAGTTTGAGCTGGGGGGCTGAGAGTTGGTACAGGGGGTTAAGTGAGGGCACTGATTATGAATAAAGATTTACTTTATCGATTTTGTCGATTCTTGGAAAATCTCGAGCTACGAGGTTGGGAGTTGGTATAGGGGAGTAAATGAGGATGCTGATTAAAACCGAAGTCTATTTTATCGATTTCAGCGATTTTTGGAAAATTTTGAGCTAGGAGTTGGTATAGGGAATACAAGGGTGCTGATTATGAATGGATCGGCTTTAGCCAGATATATCGGCAAGTTTGAGATATGGTTGCTCTAGTTATTCGATGAATCATTCGAATATTTATTCGAAATTCGACTTCCAATGTTCGAATATATTCGATATTCATTCATTCGATATTTTTGATTTTCCGAATTTATTCGAAATTCATTCATTCGAGAATTTTTAAACCTCAAATTTATTCGATATTCGTTTATTCGAGATTTTTTATTTTCGAATTTATTCGATATTCGTTTATTCGAAATTTTTCGTTTTCGAATTTATTTGATATTCATTCATTCGCTGAAAAATTTTCGAATTACTCAAGTATAGTTAGAACCAAGGAATTGGTATGGTACGTAACGTGATGTCAATTCACATAAAGGCAGGGTCTCACCAAATCGGGTATGCCAGATTTCTGCGAAGTTTGATAAGCAGAAGTGTTGGCGGAGTGAATGGACCAGTTGAGAAATTAGCTGGATACGACTTTCGCATTCGAAATCCGTGAATGCAGCCGAGACCCCTGACTAGGCCGAATGGCTGGTGGAGCATTTCGGCGCGCGCTGGACAGCTTGTCTGTTTCCCTATCGCGTTTGAACACTTCCTTCCAAGCGACGCTGCACCCGGCGGCCAAGACTGGGGGAAGGGAAAAGTTCGTTTTCGTTGCTTCTATGGGAGCTTCGAAAAACGAGGTCGTTGGGGTTTTTGCGCAAATTGGAGGCCTACAGGCTTATAAAAGGTCGAGAGGGCTTTTAATTTGCAAAAATCCTGACATTCGAATTCTGATGGGATACTGCCTTCATGGAGCCTATCAGTGGACAAAGGGGCATGTCACACACAAATGCTGTCCCAGTTATAATGAGCTTATGTACAGCTCAGTTATACTTACTGTCTGTGGCTGTGCTTGTCGTTGTGCTAATCGTTGTTGAAATTGTAGAAGTAGTAGTGGAAGGAGGGTCCTGCTCGCATAGAGGGCCCATGTTGCCGTCGTTATTCTCGCACACAGCGCCTTTAATAATCTTCTTGCATGGATTGTTGGTAGTGCATCCTTTCTTGCTTGTTGAGTCTGCCGAGTAGAGCGGTTCACCCTCTTGCGGCCTAATATAGATCGATGTCATTTTGTATTGTGTAAGAGAGTACGCTTTTCTGAAGAAAAGTGGTGGATGGGACAGTTTCGCAATGAAATTTGATATTCAGCAAATTTAGCTCGCCTTTCCTCATACACACACGCAATTGCGACCTTGCTTGTGGTGTCACAGTATCGATAAGCACATCCAAACTTTAGTGTCTTATTATAGACAATCTGCACAGTTTCAAAATTATATTCTGGTGTTTACCAAGACTTGGTGGACTCACATTGGCAAAAGGTTCCATAATGGTATCAGTATATTTGACGTCTGCACTCAGAGGAGTTTCTACTGTGCTCCCCCAATCCTCCACTGCCCATCCAAACATCGTAGAAAGCTTTGCATTACCAGGCTTTGAAGTTGCTTTATATCTGAAGATGTCATCGTAGTAATGGAATTGCTAAGTTGCACTCGCCAAGGACTCATATACCCTTACGTTATGAAGTTTTCTCCCCTTCCTATGACGTCCGTATAGACCGATGAATGTTTGCAATCGCTTCCAATGGTAGCCAAAGCAAATGCTTCGTTGGTGCAATCATATTTCTATATTCTGATGAATTCAGGCTCGTATTAAATGTGCTTGATAAAAAAGTGGGACTTTTCGTCGCAAAATTTGATGGCTATCAATGAAACATTGCTGCGTGACTCCACTCACCAACTTGAAAAGGCTCTTCGTTCCCGGTAAATCTCCGTATATATTCTTATCTAAAACACGTTGTGCAACTTTTGCTCTGAGTGTGTTGTGTGCCGCCGTGGTTGCCTCAATCAAAGCTGCAGCTAGTTTGCAGCTAGCTGAGGACGCATGTTAGAGAAAACAGTCAATCTTTCAAACAACTTGTCGACTGCTACTCACCTGCTGAAACTTCTTTTTGCAGGATACACCCAATCTGGAACACTCTCGAATGAAGCTTTTTGTTTGAGTTTCATGAACTTTACCAGTAGCACGATCAGCATTCCAGCTTCAGATTGCCGCCTTTATCCGTTCCCAGAATGCGGAAGCAGAGCGTCTGTACCACAAGAGAATATTTTGTGCAAACCTGTAACTGTTTTGCTACGATATATCTTTTCGAAAACCTAGAGGTTGGCATGCAAACCAAAAACATGCTATTTATCTTTACTGTGTTGCTGGAAAATGTGAATAGAAAACAAGCAAATGTACGGCAAATTCTACTTATATAGGAACAAGACTATCGAGTTTGGTCCATCAATTTTCACAATGAAAACACATGTCATTGCTCGTGTTTCAGTGTTTTATTAATGAGTACCAGTGTATTCGTTGGGAACGACTACCTTTTCTCTGATTACAGATTGCAATCATTATTGCACATGCGACTTCTCAGAAATGAATATGACTGAGGCTTTGATATAACTTTCTGACATATTCATGATAACTGCCTGATTTTGAAGACAAGTTAAGGGGGTCAAGCGCAAGGCTACAAGAGCTCAGGCATCCTGATCTTTTCAAGGGTTGTGTTTGACCTCTACTTTATCTCTGAAGAAGCTTTTTTACTCGAATTTCACGTGATTCTCGCACAAACCTCGAAGACCTACAACAGGTCTGTGAGCTTACCTTGACTAATTTCGGCTCTGTGGTGATTCGTGGAGTTGAAGCGCTCAAGGTGAAAAACGCGGTGGTTGAAATTTTGCAGCACTTCTCAATCTACAGAGTGTCCCAAAAAGATGTGCATACTGTTTGATCGTTAATAACTCTCTTGCTTTCAGGTTTTTTGCCGAGTTCAAGGTACCATTATGTAGAGCGAGGTTCAACTTAGATTTGCAGTGTGGAGCGAATCACCAATCACTTTTCTTTACTGTAGGATTACGGTATGAACTTCCAACATACAACGTCACTGTGGAATAGGTGTTGCGATAAAATAATTTCAAAAAAATCTGAAAATCTGTGTAATAAGGTTTTCAGGCGTGCTGATTTCAGTGCATAACTTTTCATCAATTTTTCGAACTTTCTTGTTCGCGTATTCACATTTTTGAGGGACATTGGGAAAACAGTTTTTACTCTAAATCTGAAATAACTTATGAAAGAAGCAGCAGACTAAGGTGCAAACTTCATATTTAGAATCAGCACCTTCAATTAGCCCAGTTTGAAAGTTTCTGGCTTGCTTGGCCTTCTTTCTGAGGCAAATTGCGCCCTTTAATGGCTTAAAACCCTCTTCGAAGTTCCCACCGTAATCCTACAGTAATGAAGAGCGATCGATGATTCGCTCCATTCTGCAAATTTAAGTTGAACCTCGCTCTATAGAATGGTACTTTAAGCTCGACAAAAGACATGAAAGCAAGAGAGTTATTAACTATCAAACAGTGTGCACATCTTTTTGGGACACCCTGTATAATTTGAGAGCGATATGAAGTCTGATTCTAGTACAGGGTTACAGGAAGTATCATTTTGTTTGAGTGAAAAAAAAGCTGAGTTCTTTCACCCTTAGAACTAAGTTAATTATGTTTGAAAATCACGCCTTTAGACTTTAGGGAACACTAGAATATGTAATAGTTAGTGGTTTGTAGATCTCGTACAGATAATTAGAACGCTAATTACGGAAACGCACTCCAATATACATAGTAAACTTCTTTGGTGACCTTATGGTAGTTAGAGAAAGAGATTAAAAAATGAAATTTGGCTGCGACTTCGATAGTGGAGTTAATCAGTGCGCTGTTTACGACAATAATCTCTCCAATTCTGGTGGGGCTGTGATATTCAACGGTCCAGTGCTTTTCTTCTTCACTTTACTCTACCGTAGTATTTTCCAATTCTTTTGAACAATTTCGGTTCTTAATTACTCTTCCCTCCCTCTGTTCTGCCCCCAATGTAACCCCTCAAGTCGGGCTCGCATGCTCCCACGCTCAACCTTGGTTATCTCTGAGTTAAGTGGAGCTTTGAACCCGGAGTTCCGACCAAATTACTACCAGTCCTAATTTTTCCTCCTCGAATAATGATTGGTCGCTAGGTCATGGATGTCGCCAAGACCAGCGCCAATCAAAACAATTGAACGCTAATTGAACACAAAACTACAGTTTTTGACCCGAAGTTGAAGAACTGATTCAGCGAGATTTCAGTATATACCTTTTGACAAAATCTGCTGTGGTAATTACAAGGCTCAAACGGTAAAAAGCACAGCTAATATATATCCGAATGGTGCTGCACGTATTCGCCTCAACAGAAATGACGTTTATGCCATTCCAGCCGGCATTTTGATGGTATCAAATTGTCGTGCGATAGAGTTATATGAAATCATCTGAACCACCAAACTATTTCTGTTATCTTCATATGCCAGTCCGCATAGAACAATAACCTTCTCCACTTAACCAGGTACCCGTAATTTGATAGCAAAAAGTCCAAAAGCTGACTGTCACTTATCTTTTGGAATCTTTAATGATGGTACCAACAAATTTAATCCTCCGAAGGGTTAAAGGTTACACTCACGTCCCTTTTGTACACACTACTCTTCCGTGCCTTCTCTTAAAAAATAACATGGTTTTTGATGCACCGCCTGTTTTTCATTCAAATTTGGCTAAAATTTATTCAGATTTATGTTTTTTCGGAAAGAAATGCTACCAACAGATTCTTCATCAGACAATCAAGAATTTAAGGGAATAGTAGTAGTAATAGTAATAGTCAAAGTACAAATTACCTAGAAATGGAAACGCGGAAATAAGCTTGCGCCTAAAGTACAGTCTTACCATGAATCCAGAGTAATGAAACGCATTGCTGTAGATGAAACGCCTGTGGATCAACCCTAACGTAATGCCTCCAAATTTTTCTCAAATTTAAGCATATTGTTCTTCTGTGTAATTACAATCAACTTCAAATAGATTTTTATAAATATGAAAATTGGCAACCTTTCCACTTTTGCACTTTTTGACACGGGCTTTTCTCTAATTATCTTTCCGAAAATTTGCAAGGCACGCGCACGTATATATCATGCCAACTGCTTGGGTAAGGAGTTTCTGTAATGGCTCACCTAATCAAGTTCCTAGGGCAAATTTAATGCACCATCGATGTGACCAATTCATAGAGTCGCCCTTATGGTTCTGGTAGTCAACAACAACATTGCTCTGCTGACATTTCACTGGGGAATGATGCGGTAAATCAAATAGTAACGAGTATACCTATCAACTGCAAATCTAAAACCACAAATTTTGATCACCACAATCCCATACTTAATCCGAATTATCTAATGCTTATCCTCTTCACCTTCCAACCTACTTCATGTCCGAACTCACCTCGAAACCCTCTTCTGACAACGTAGTATTCCCTTCCACAAAGCATATTTATCCGGAAAATTGGAATTCTTGACTTGCGATATCCTTGCATTCTACTACCATTTAGTGTTCGCGTATCGTTTTACACGGCTTCCATTCATCTTTTTTCATTACCCTACACAAACCAAATTAATCCCAATTTCGAATGTTCTTCAAGAAAAGGATACTTGGTGATCCCGGCCATTTGGAATGCGATGTATATCGTGAGGTGCACTCAAAACGCTGATTCTAAATCCGTGCTCAAAATCTGCGAAACGATCATATGAAGGCAGTTATGAACTTTTTTTCGTAAGAAATTTGGGTACTTTTGAGTAGTCAGAATCATCCAATTTGATCTATTTTACCATTTTAAGCTATTGAGGAGAATCTTGAAAGGTGTAGCGTTGTATTTATACCTATCTAAATCATATTCAGCATTTGAAGAGGAAAGAAAAATTTTCATCAATGATTTCCACCCACCGCAGTAGCACAATTCATTTTTGAAAAAATAATTATAGCTCCATCCTGGTTCTGGTTTCGCAGATATAGAAAACAGTATTCGAACCAGCGTTAAAAGGCGCATGTTTTGATATACAAACCATTATGAATGGCCGGAGTCACCAAGTATCCTACCCTGTTTAGATGTATTAGTCGCCAGTACTTGCGGTGGATATAAGGCACAAAATCGCGATCCGAATACAAAGAAGCTGCAGATTACGTACCCGACGAAGCTCATATCATTTAATAATTGCCGTCTTTTTCAAGCAAAATCATGCTCTTATCAAATGCATAAAATCAATAATTTAATTCTAAGCAACAATCAAGTAATCTAAGTTCACCATCTTTTACAAAACGTTTCAGCTTTTGTTGGTAATGACGGTAATTTGGGTGCTACACAGGCTCTAGCCTCACCAAATCAATTCTGTGCCGCACGCAAAATGTCCACAAAAACACTGTTTCCTTGGAAAACGCGAAGATAAAAGACAGACAAAACAAATGTTTAGGATAGATTGATAAAGATAGGTAAGAGCAAGTTCGCCTCACCCATCTTTTTAGTTAAAAAAAAGTTTGGGCAAAGATTAGTGGAGATTTGCAGTGGACTACAGGCAGATAAATGCTATTAATACAAAGAACGAAATGTACTGTATCCCTCATGTAAGGATATATGGATTAGGAAGTGATAAATTTGTCTATTCTATCGTGGACTGAGTGGGTTTATTTTTCAGATTTTCTCTAAACGAAACATGGAGAGCGCGCCATCTTCTCTTCCCTTGACCACTTCTTTTTACTATCATGGCGCAAAGTTTAAATGACGCTCCTGGAACGGGTGTGGTGCGGAAGGCGACAACCCCAAATCTTGTGCCTTTCAAACTCTTCGCTGCTAGAGTGACACGGCGCCAAGGTATGGGGGGGGGGCAAATACACGACTCGATCCCACAGTAAAATTTTGTAAATTGGCCAGGAGCAATTTTACACTGTTTGCATTTTGCCACCATGTCGCCTTCCGCGTGCCCCTCCCCCCCCCCCCCTGGAACATTTGAGCGCGCAGCTAACGAGTTGATAGGCAAACTCAAGACATGCTGTTTTGCATATATTGACGACATCATAATGGCGAGTCACAGTGTTGAAAAACGTTTTCACGACCTACCTTGACGAATTGCAATTAGAATAGAAAATTCTAGAATAAACTCACTCCCAACAAATGCTTTTTTGTTTGAAATAGAAGTCGGCTACTTAGGTGTCCTCATAAGTAAGACAATACGCGGCTAAATCTTGAAAAAGTCGCAAG